TCACCTCTCTTACCGGGAGCCATCCCAAAGTCCACTCAATTTGACTTGCATTTAAAGATCTTAGGTGGGATATCCAGGCTTCCACCCCTTCTGGAGAGTTATAATCTTTTACTCTTTCTTCGTAACTCTCAATAAAACTGTCCTTGCTCGGACCATAGCTCATGAACTTGGGGTGATGTCGGAGATGCTGAATCAACCACATTTGTAACAAAATATTGCACCCTTCGAAGAATTTTGCCCCGGACTTGCACAAAGTCAATGCCCGATAAATGTCTGATAGAATGATCGGGGCAAGGGTGTGATGTTCTTTGGTAGTGAGGACCTGTACAACCCTGGCTATGCGGGTATCAATTGTCCGTTCCTCATTTGGGAAGACCATAATTCCCAGAAACGCCACTATGAAGGCGAAGCGACGATGAATCTGCCATGTGTCTTTGTTCTGCTTGTTGTTAAGGCCCTTTTCATGCATTTCAAACCCATTTGGCTGCCCGAACCTAGAGTACAAGAAGTAGAAAGAACAACACCCTTCGACTACGTTGGTCTTTCTAATTTGCTTACTGATGTTCAGAAGATCGAAGAATCGGTGTACAGAAAGAGCCCTTGGGAATATGAGCTCCTGGTTTCTCAAATCCCTGCCAAACCCGGAATATCCAGCTATCTCTTCTAAAGTGGGAGTTAGCTCAAAATCGAAGAAGCGAAAGACATTGTGAACGGGGTCCCAAAAAGTCACTAGTGCCTCAATCAAATCGTCCCGTGGTTTAATTTTCATAATATCTGTAAGGGCTCCCAAGTGCTTGGTGACCCATTTCTGACCATCTTCTCCTAAATCATACCACCACATCTGAAGCTGAAGTGGAGCCTTGTCTACGACTGTGAATGGTGTGTTCTGGATAGTGCTCATTTTGTACATGTGGGTGGTTAAGGTTAGGGTTAACACTAGTCTCAAGAGACAGAACCAATGCACTCCTTTTGCAAAACAATCTTTTGTAAATAACTCAATTTTAAGAAAAATCAACGAGAATGGGGGCTATTTTTGCAATTGTGACCGAAGAAAGGGTGGCTATTTTTGCAACTATGGCCCCTTCTTACTTTCAAGGATAGCTTTAGGGTCGGGGGAAGGGCATTATGGTCAAAGTGATTCCCAATTGACAGACACGTCCGTTCTTGCGAGAACAGCCCTTCAACAATTTTGAAGATGTTCTAAGGCTATTCTGACAGGAACGATTTGGGATTAACCGAAGCTGGGTCTTCTTATTTGTTTTTTTGATTTAAAAAAAAATAAAAAAAATACACATTTCTTTTTTTTTTTAGTTATTTTATAAAAATGGGGCCGAACCCTATGAAGGTTGCCTACGTATCTCACATCCGGTGAGAATCAGACCCGCGTAGTTCGTAAATATTTCAGGAATAGGATGACATTTTTTTTGAAAAATTCAGGCTTCTTTTTTTTTGGGGGGTAAATACTGAGATTTTCGAAAATCGGGTAAATTTTCTCCCTCATATTTTCTTCTTTCTGGTTTTCCCTCAATATTTTTATATTTTTATTTTTATTTTAGAAACCGGTCAACATGCACAAACAAAATCAAACATAATGCACAAGTAACACATAAGATGCATCAGGATGGTCTTGTAATTTTGGGTACACCTGTCCTAGACGGACCCAACCCCTGTGTTGAGTCCCCAAAGTCAAATGCACGTGATGCAAACAAACGTACCTACTAGGGATCTGGCATGAGGCTATGTTATTCTAGGTTTAAATCCTAAGGGGAATGTTTTAGACCTGGCTTACCCAAGCGGACAGCTCGAGCCGAGGTGGGGGTAACGTACCGGGAGTACGAAAGTCTACCCGACCTAGTTACTGACCCAGCCTCGTTCTAATTGGTATGACTTCTAACAGAAAAATGGGCCACGCGCACGTGTGCACCATAAATTCAGAAGACTCAGAAGGGAGGCGTAAGAAGACAATTTAATACATTTCAAATAGTATCAAAGCGGTAAATAAGCAACAATTAGCACATTAGGCCCACAAATATAATAATATCATACAATAAATAAAGCCAAGTATAAATCACATTACAAGCTCAAATTCTGAACCCTGAACCAAAAGTTCTGGGTTCTTTTCCCCAGCAGAGTCGCCAGAGCTGTCACACCTCCTTTTTCCCTAGGGATAGGGAAGAAGAGAGTTTTTCCAATTTAAGTGACATTATTCGAAATGGGATTATTTATTTAATCAGAGTCGCCACTTGGAATAATTTATGGTGTCCCAAGCCACCAGTTTATTTTTAAATCCCAAATCGAGGAAGTTTTGACTCCGAATTATGGTCCGCGAACACAGAAGACCCGGTAAGGAATTCTGTTAACCCGGGGGAAGGTGTGAGGCACTCCCGGATTCCGTGATTTTAGCACGGTCGCTTTTAATAATTATACTTGGCATAACCAATTCTGGATATTTTATGTTCTAGGAAACTTTGTGCACTTTCATCTTAAACCGCTTTTAATTTCTTGATAATTTATAATTATGGAATTATCTTGAAACGAATCACGCGTACGTGTATTCATTTTGTTTGGTGTGTCATGAATCATGTCACGCGTACGTGTACACAATTAATAAAACTTTATTATTTTTAAGATTGTTCTCTTAAAGTTGCGCGAATGCATACTTTGCCTTTAATTTTGGGAATCATAATTATGTCACACGAACATATATATAATCATGATGATTCAATTAATTAAGAGTGCGCCTAAAGCATTCTAGCGCATTAAACGCGTGTAAAGCTCTTCTAGCTATTTTAAGAGTTATTTTTTTTTTCTAAACTAATTTGAGATTTATTGTAAATCCGAAATTATGGAATGAATATTATTATGGAGGAAATGTGTGATTTAACTATAAGGATTTACAGGTTATCAACACTTATAAAACTAATTATATCATAATTTGTCCTAACAATTAAAACTTGCTGCCAGCCAAATATCGTGGGTAACTTGAACTTTCGAGGCCTGAATTATCCAATTCAACTAAGTGATTAATGGCCTTATAATGATGAAAAATTCAATAAGTATCTACATCCCCGTCAAGTTCATACTTAACTATAAAGAAAATTCAGCAAGTAAAGATACAAATATAGCTCAAACATTCACGTTTAAAGTAAATACATTTAACGCTACACAAACAGAATGTTAATGAAAGAAATATTCGCCCAAAATGCATGATATGGACTCTTGTGATTATTACTAGGCTACCTTAAACTAGAAGAGTAAAATATAATTAAATTAAAAAAAAAACCTACTCAATATTAGAAAAAATTAGATTAACGGACCTTCATTTTAGGTCCAAGCTAAACCTCATATGGTCCTACTCTCTTCATATC